GGAGTCTGTTCCCACTCATAGTGATTCCAAGGTGGAGTCTGTTCCCACTCATAGTGATTCCAAGGCTGTATATCTTTACGGGTGCAGAAAACTTTATCTTTCTCCCGCGGAGCGACTGATAGTTTCGAACTGCTGACTTTGAGGTTACAGCCCGATTTGTAACCACTATGCTACCAGAGCTCCTTGGTGAGAAGATTAGCACAACTCAAAGAAAGCATGATCAGTGTCGCTGAATTGTACTCATAAAAATTGGACATTTGGTATATATTCTCAACAACAACAAAAATAAATTACTTATTTTAAATAGGGGGGAAATGCCAATGTCTGGACCTCACCCCCAAAGATTCTGAATTTGTGGGTCTGGGTGGGGCTTGGGTGGCCATGTGAAATCCCCAGAGGGTTCTCATGTATGTAGACAATTATTCCATGTTCATGGTGAGTTGACTGTTCTCGTGGTTCATAGGTCTCTTCTTCCCACTTAGCAAACTCCACCTAAAAAGACAGAATTTTCCTCTGGCCCACAGGGGAAATCTATTCTCCACAGTCACCCTGAAGGCAGGTCCCAGGGAAGGTGCCCACTACTTGACCATACCTCCCGGGAGGCCTGGGGGGTGGGCGTCAGCATGGGGTCGGGTAGGGACCTAGAACAACTTCCCTCCCATCCCTGTTAGACCACCTTAACTTGAAGTCAGATATTTGGGTAGAGTCCCTGCTCTGTTATTTATACTTGGAGTGATTTGGCTTACTACATAACATTTCTGGGCCTCAGTTTCCTCATCTGTAAAATGAGGCAAGGAATGTCAGGTTTGTCAGAATAAACAAGATGACAGATGGAAATGGGCTTTGTCATCTGTGCAGTGATACAGATCTATGGAGTATGTAGTGGGCATTGTACACCACTGTCATTGTTAAATGCTGTCAAGTCGGTTCCAACTCATAGCGACACTGTATAGGGTTTCTGAGGAGCCGCTGGTAGGTTTGAATCACCAACCTTATGATTCAAACTGACCTTGGGGTCCAGTGCTTTATCCTACAGCTCCACACGAGGAGATCCACAGTGTACCTCTGTGCATGACCCTAAATCCTAATGGTCCATATGGAGAACCCTCAGCAGCTCGGGTTCCTAGGAGGAGTGTCAGGGCAGTAGCTCTGAATCCCGGGTGTGCTGAGCCTGGCCCAAGGAAAGGTAAGAGAGCTCCAGCCAAGACATCACTGCTACCCCTGAGACCCATCAGAATCATAAAAACCATCTGACTCAGAAATCCACCCTTTAAGCGGCGGTTGGAATGAGTATTTGGGTCCTTAATGCAAAATGGAGCTCTGGTAGTGTAGTGGTTACGAATTGGGCTGTGAACCACAAGGTCAGCAGTTTGAAACTAGCAGCTGTTCCACGGGAGAAAGATGAGGCTTTCTACTCCCATGAAGATTTACAGCCTCGGAAACCCTGTACAGGGTCAATATGAGTTGGAACTGACTCCATGGCACTTAACAACAACAAAGAAGAGACTGCCCTCTCATTTTGCAGGCTATTTTCTCCCAACACAGTGATCTAAATTGCCACACGCTAACTGTTGACCCTGTGCAAGTCACTTCATCTCTCTGTGGCTCGGTTTCTGTATCCATACAATGGGGATATGAATAATACTACCAGATAGGGTTTAAATGTAGGCATTTAATGAGAGAATATAGTGCATATTAACAAGCATGAACTCAAATCCCAATTCTGCCACTAGCTAGCTGTTGACTTTGTGCAAGTTACTTAACTTCTGTGTGTCTCAGTTTGTACAGCTGTGCAATGGGCATGATAGTAACCCTTACTTCACAGGGAGTAAACGAGTTAATATGCACAGCGTACTGAAAGCAGTGCCTGGCTTCGTGTAAGCGATGGGTAGGGGTTTGCTGTTGTTGTCAGACAGGACTAACCTTTGTCTCCTCTCATTCCTGTCCCAGTGCCTAGTCCCTCTTGTAACGGCTTTGACAGTACCCTTTCCAGACCTTGCCGGATGCCGTTGGGAAAGGAGGTCTGCTTCATCGCTACTGTTCGCCTGGCAACACCACAGTTTTTAAAGGTAAGTGAGTGCCTAGGAGAGACTTTATCATGCAGAGATAGTAAAATGTTGTCACATGTGTTGTTTTTGCTTGGTACAGTCAAGTCAATTCCGACTCATAATGACCCCAGGTAAAATGGCCTTAGGGTTCTCTAGGCTGTAATCTGGTAGTGTAGTGGTTACGAATCGGGCTGTGAACCTCAAGGTCAGCAGTTCGAAACTACCAGCTATTCCGCAGGAGAAAGATGAAGCTTTCTGCTCCTGTAAAGATTTGCAGTCTCAGAAACCCTGTACAGGGTCACTATGGGTCGGAACCGACTCGACAGCACTTAACAACAACAACAATCCTTACAGAGGAGTCCTGGTGTGGTGCTGCAGGTTAATGAGCTGGACTGCAGTGTCAGTTTGAGCTGCAAGGTCATCAGTTCAAAGCCACCAGCTGCTCCTCGGAAACCCTACACAGGGTCACTATGAGTCAGAACTTACTTGACAGCCCACAACAACAACAGTCCTTACAAAAGCAGATTTCCAGAGCTTTCTCTTGTGGAGCCATGGGTTTGAACCACCAACATTTCCATTGGCAGCCGAGTGCTTAACCGTTGCACCACTGGGGCTCCTGGAATCACATTTGTTCTTGTTGTTAAGTGCTGTCGAGTCGGTTCTACCTCATAGCAATAGGGTGTCTGAGGAGCAGCTGGCTGATGGGTTTGAACCTCCAACCTTGTGGTTAGCAGTCCAGTGCTTATCTTACAGTGCATTTCGTTCTACTTAACTGTCTTTCTTAGAAAGGATAACAATACAGTGAAGCTATCACTGAACATCTAAGATGTCTGCTTCCTGTACCTAACACAGCCACACATCGCTGCCCCTGAACTCCGTGTTCCCATGAATTATTTTGTTTGAAGCCAGCATAAATTGTCCCAGCGGCAAGAAGCTCAGCGCGTCTTCCTACTGTTCACACCCACATTAATGCCATCCAGGGCAGGCGAGGAGGAGAACTGGGTGTCAAGAAACAGAGAGACTGTCTATTCGCTCATCTGCAATTGCATTAACATCTACGGCATAAACGTTGAATTAAGTTAGTAATTCAGATTCAGATGAAGAGCCATTTTCCACATGCTTACTGCACTTCTAGATAATGGCAAGGGAGTGGTGTGACATTTTGGCTCCTAGATATTTTCCCCCAGCTTGTGAAATAAATTTAGCATCCGCTAATCCCAAAATTAGCTACAGATGATGCGCTTTAGTCCAACATAACTTGGAGGCTTGTTCTAAATGATTTTAACTTCTGTGCCCACCACCTTTTCCTCTTGAACAAATGAAGGGTGAGCATCTGGCACCCCAAGCATCATTCTTTTTTTCTCTCTCTCCTTCTAATACAGGAAATGTGCATAGTTGAAGAACCTTTGGAGGAATTCACTTCAAGGCATAGCTTGGAATGGAAATTTTTATTTCTGGATCACAGGTTTGTGACAAGAAAAACATGCTTGAGCTGAGTCCTTTTGCATGAGCCATGTTCTCCTTGGGAAGGAAGAGAAGAGTCAAGAAGGCCTCGTTGGTGGGAGGAAAGGTTGTCCCAGCCAAGCTAACTGGTTTCCCTTTACCACCTCAGCTCTACTGTGGAGCTCTGTATTTGGGGGTCCAACCACCTCAAGAGCAGAAGCCTCAGCCCCTGGGGTTTATGTTCCACAGTCTTCATTCAGACTCTCTAGCTCCAGGGGAGGCGGGCTCAGATGTGATAGGATGTTCAGTTAGCCAAATTGTCTTTCTTTGGAAGCCTTATGCCCTCCTCTCCACCTATTATTTTTCGACGTCTTTGGCTGGCGTTTTGGCTGATCCAATCAATAGTTGTGTTCAGCTATTCAGTACTATCAAGATGTTACTATCTGGGATCGGTTATGCTAAAGACACAGAGTTTATACTTGTCACAAGTTTTGGAGAACTTTGAAAAACATGGCCTCTCTTGTTTTGATCACTGCACAACGGGTTTTCCTCCCTGTGTGTTTGCGGAACGAGGCCTCACTGCTTGTTGCTGCACACGCCAGGGGCGCACTGCGCATGCCTGATTAAGCGTTTCCCCGTGTCGTCTTGCAGGGCTCCTCCCATCATAGGCTATCTGCCTTTCGAAGTGCTGGGAACTTCAGGCTATGACTATTACCACATCGATGACCTGGAGCTCCTGGCCAGATGCCACCAGCACTGTGAGTACTGCACGCATGCCCCCACACTGGGACCTCACCCCCAGGAGCAGGGACAGCAGGGCTCTGTCTCCGCCACTCGGCTCCTACCCTTCCAGACAGGGGCTTGGCTTTCTCTGGAATGATCCAACATGTGGTGGAGGGACATCTCCATCTGGGTTTCCCCTGTGCCTTGTGTTGGCTGGACTTGGCTTGGCATTCCCTGCCTTCCTCCCCATCCCAGCACCTTCACAGTAGCCCTGAAATAAAGTTAAATCTACTGTTGTCAAGTCATTCTGACTCATAGTGACCCTGGATGGTAGAGTAGAACTGCTCCGTAGGGTTTCCAAGGCTGTACTCTTCACTGAGGCAACACAGTGGCTCTGTACCATAAACACTGAACTGTGAACCACAAAGTTGGCCATTCGAGCCCACCAGCTTCCGCTCCCTCAAAGATTTATAGCCTTGGAAACCCTATACAGGGTCGCTATGAGTTGGAACCAACTCAATGGCACGTAACAACAACAGCCTTGATAATTGGGTAATCCTACACTGGTCACACACAACAGCTGTAAGACATACAGGTGACTCAGGTCTGCTTCCTGCCTTACAGGAGCTTACAGTCTAATTGAAAGCCCAGCTGGGGGCTCAGGGAAGGCTCTGTGCCACAGAAGAGGGGGTGTTGTAACACTTTTAAACTTGTAGTAAGTTGTAACACTTGTAAACACACTTGTAGTGTTTACGCAGCAAGGGGGGAATTATAAATCATGAGCCATTTCAGGGTGTGTTCTCAGTGCTGACTCTTCACTTTGAGCAGGGACATTTGTACTTACACTGACCTATGGATCCTGATACACAAATTATATCATATTGTAATAGATTCAGGATCGACTGTAACCTTCTCTTTTGTGCTGTGCTTATTGAAAGCTTGAGTTCCATCAAGATCTGCTGTTACAATTTGAGACTGATCTTTGAACGTTTAACTCCATGCTCCTCAAACTGTGGTCCCAGGTCCAGCTGCTAAGACATCAAGGAGAGTTTGTTAGACACATAGAACCTCCACACCGTTTCCCCCAAAGCCGCCTTTCCTTTCCCCCATCCCTCCCCCACACACTCCCCTACTGAATCTGAATATTCGTTTTAACAAAATCTCCACAAATGTGATTTGTGTGCACATTAAAATTTGAGAATCACTGCCTTCCTGGAGGTGCCTTGGAAGAACATCCTGGTGATCTACTTCTGAAGGATTAGCCTTTGAAAACTGTGAAGTACAGTTCTGCTGTGACGCACATGCGGCCATCCTGAGTGGGAGTCGGCTTCACAGCAGCTGGTACTGTTTTAAGCCTTTGGCACCTGGGACTGTTGTGGGAAAGTCCGTTCAGCATCAGAAGGACTTCAGATTGGGTTCTTGTGTAATGTCCGATTGAGGCAAGGCTATACATTCTTGCTCTACTGAGTGCCCTCAGCCTGCGTGGCTTTTCTCCTCTCTAGGTACCTCCTTCTCCAAGTCGGTGATGCCTTTTCTCATTTTGTTTATGATGACTGTTGACTATTTGCAGAAAGAGATGATGCTCAACGCCAGGCACTGGGAACATTGTTATTAGGTGCTGTCCAGCTGATTCCGACTCAGGTGACCCATAGGACAGAGTAGAACTGCTCCATAGGTTTTCCTAGACTGTAATCTTAACAGAAACCGATGGCCAGATCTTTCTTCCACAGAGCCACAGGGTAGGTTCGAACCACTTACTTCTCAGTTAACAGCAGAGTGCTTAACCATTGCACCATTGCACTAGAGCTCTTACTTTGGAAATAAAATTCAAATGTTTCTACTTCCTTGGACCCAAAGCCCATCCTTCTGCCCTATCCAGGTAATAAATCCTCAGTACCCATTTCATCCTGGACATCCCAGGAAGAAGTCCCAGGCTGTGCACCCTGCAGCTAAGTGGACTGGGTGCGGAGGGAGGCATGTGTACCAGCCTCCTTTATTTTAAAACTGTTCAGACTAAGTATAAAGTGCTGGCTGACAGTCGCAGAATGAGTCCAAAGGTTGCTGGCTGTCAGTTCTATTTTAGGTCCAATTTTTCCAGAGTCTGGGTGCTCTTTTTCTGGGCTCGGCTCCCAGCAGCTCCAACTGCAGTTCCACCCGCAAGAGGAAGAGAAACACCAAGAAAATCTGGACCTCTTTTTAATTAAACCTTAAGCTTCAAAATATGCTCACATCTGCCCTTACTTGAAGATCTTTTTAAGTTTCTAAGCATTTGGGAACGCAATTATGCCAGTTGTTTCTCTATGATTTCTACGATAGCTAATTACCCTGATACCGATATTCACGTAAAACACGGTGTACTCTATCTTTTAAAATTGCATTCTAGCAGTGACTTTTGAAGAAGACCGTTTTTGCATTAACATTTATCATATGCAGAATGCGTTTTCTACTAACAGTGATGCAGTTTGGCAAAGGGAAGTCCTGTTGTTACCGGTTTCTGACCAAAGGGCAGCAGTGGATATGGCTGCAGACCCACTACTACATCACCTACCATCAGTGGAACTCCAAGCCCGAGTTCATTGTGTGCACACACTCGGTAGTCAGGTACCAGATTGGCCGGGAGTGGGCATGGGCTGGGGGCTGGCTGTTGGGGGTAGAGGGAGGGAGATCCCTGGTGACCCATCATTTCAGCAGCTCAACCACATAGTCCCAGCTTCTGAGGGTCAACCTCCAGCAGAGGGGTTGGCAGGGATGGCACGTGCTCTGGGCCCCACTTGAGAACAGTGGGCACCTATGAGCAGTTTTATTCACCATGGCAGTTCTTCTCCAAGGTCACACATGGGGCTCACATCTCCACATAGGAGCCCTCACCAGAACTGACTGGCATGTGCTGAGTTATCATTCAGCCAGCTAAAACTAATTGCCCTGGGCGCTGTTTTCAGCAGGTACACCTTTGCCCTGCACTAGACTTGAATTCTTAAGTATGGCTCAGGCTATCCTCCCCAGGTAACAGAATCATTAGCCAAGCTCATTCCCAGCTCTGTCCCCTCAAGGCTAACAATTCCTTTGAGTTTTTAAATCCAGCCTCTTTGAAAGCCTCTTGAACTCTCCCAGGCTGCCAGGATATTACTAAGTTGCTGCTTCACTGACCTACTTACATATTTTTCCCTTTGCTCGAGCTATCCCCCAGTCTTCTCTTGTTGCTGTTTTTTGAGAAGAAAATTAAATTTTTGCCTCCAAATAACTCAAACACATACTTCCCTTTATTTTTAATGCTTTAAAAAAAAAAATCCCCACTGGCAATTGAGGCTTTGTGGGGGAAGCAACCAGGCTGCCCCCAGAGAGACTTCCTGAAGGGCTTCCTGGTGGCCTGGGGGTGCCCTCGCTCAGGGTGTGTTGAGCAGGGATCCAGAAGAGGCCTCCCATCCCAGAATTCCATATGCTTGTCCTACACAAGTCACCATGGCTCCCAAAGGTAAAAGAGGAAGAAACCCCCTTCTGTTGTTTCTCTCAGGGCTACAGAAATGTTAGGCATCAGTCAGTTTTAAACTGGATTAGAGATGCAGGGTCCTTATGAGTGTGAATCCCTCAATGACACACAACAAGAGTACTTGGGAAGAGCAAAGAAAGACAAGTTAGGAGGACTGTATTTTATCCATTTACATTCTATATAAGCATACACAAGGAGTCCTGGTGACGCTGTGGGTTAGGCATTGGGCTGCTAACAGCAAGGTCAGCAGTTCAAACCACCAGCTGCTCTGAGGGAGAAAGAGTTACAGCCTCAACCCCTATACAGGATCACTATGAGTCGGAACCGACTCGATGGCCGTGGATATATACACAAATATAGAACACAGCACAGTGATGATTCATGGGTAGCATTCTCACCTTCCATCATGAAACCCGCCTATGGAAGCTGTGATGCTGAAGAGGTTTCAGCAGAGCTCCTGGACCAAGATGGAGTAGGAAGAAGGGTGTGGCAATCTACTTCTGAAAATCTGCCACTGAAAACACGATGATTCACCACAGTCGGATTCTGTTGTGCGTGGGGTTGTCATGAGTTAGGGTCCAACTCAAAGGCAGCTAACAACTACAGTGCACAGACACACTGTCAACGAGGAAGCCGCTGTTCTTGAGCAAACGGGGAGAGAGATGTTTGCTTTCCTTGTTGTTCAGTTCACACTTCATGGGCCTCTTTAGGGCCATGATCTTCAATCCCCAGCCCACCCTCCTATATGTCCTGGGCCTTATACTGTCCACTGCCGCCTAGGCCCGGACCCCACAGGGAGGTCGAGCCTTATCAACACCTTGTTCTGTTGACCCTACAATTGATCCTGCTCTTCCTTCCTATCCTACATCTCAGAGAGAATGTGGAGGGAATGGGTATATCAGGTAACATGCATTCTGGAGGCCTAGGGTCTGTGTTCTTCTCCAAGGTCACACATGGGGCTCACATCTCCACATAGGAGCCCTCACCAGAACTGACTGGCATGTGCTGTTTAAAAAAGTAAGTCTGTAGACTCATCAGCCGTCTGGTTCTGGCTAGTTCTAGGTTTACTGCCGAGAAAACCTGAGAAAATTCATTCCTCAAGAAGTTCAGTACTACTATTGTCTATACACAATTATCACTGAGCAGGATTATGAAAGGTTTCTAACTGTTTAAAGGGTGAAGCTTATCCTGTAGATGGAAATATGTTTGTAAAGACAATTAGGATTCAGAGGAGGGAGGAGCTCAGAGAAGTAAAGGGGACATTTTCTGAATGTAACATCAGAAACCATGACAGTAGAATTTAGGCATGGAATTAAAAGCGTTCCTTCAAACCATTAGCAGCCCCAGTTTGGTTGGTATTAACTGTTCTAGAAGTGGATGTTCTATGGAGAACTAAAGTATATCTTACAAGGTCGTTTTGGGGTTGTTCTGCAATGTGCTGTCTCCAGCTCTGGTCTCTTGGTTTCAGTTATGCGGATGTCCGGGTGGAAAGGAGGCAGGAGCTGGCTTTGGAAGACCCCCCATCTGAGGCCGTGCACCCTTCAGCACTAAAGGTACAATGCTCTCTGCCAGGTGGGGCCCGGTGCCAGGACTCAGATCCTCCTGAGCTGATGGGTAAAGGGCATTCTGTAACTGAAGGGCACAGAGAGGTTAGTGCAGGATGTAGACCTCACAGAGCTGGGTTACAAACAGCAGCTGGTCTCAAAGCTTGGCTGTAAATCTGCTTTCTAATCATCTCACAAATAAAGAGCTGGATGGTGATCCCATCATCCATGGAGGCATGGAATAATGTGTGCAACCCTGTTTTCCCTTGAAGTCCCTGGGTGGTACGCAAGGGTAACATGCTCAGCAGCTAGTGGAAAAGTTGGGGGTTCAAGTCTACCCAGAAGCACCTCAGAAGAAAGGTCTGGTGATCTCCTTCTGAAATATCAGTCATTGAAAGCCTTATGGAGTACAGTTCTACTCTGACACACATGGAGTCACCATGACTCAGACGAACTGGTCCTCTGTTTGCTGTTCCACCACATCTATGACTCAGTGTCATATGGGAAGCCCACCGTGTTGTCAGTAACGAGTTATACTTTATACTTCTGTGTCTGCGGTCTGTGTGAGAGCCAGCTCCATATTACATAAAGGTGTAACATTACCCTCTCACTAACCTATCCTGGTTACCTGCTCCCTGCAGACAGGTTTCTCACCATCTCTGCTCCTGGCATGTTGGACAGTCTAAAGGAACCTTGAGGACTGTCTGCAAGTAGATCAGGGGTCTATTCCTCACAGGTCATTTTTAATCTGTGAAATGGGGATTTCTTGAGGTGTGTTTAAAAACGAGGGGAGGGGTGCATCGTTGAGTCATTCCCTGTGTAGGAGACATTAAGCTGTTAAGGATGATGGAGACGCATGGTGTCCATGGTCACACAACACAAGTGAACATAGTTCATGTCACTGGATTTTACGTGCAAAAATGTTGAAATAGCAAACGTTTTATGTATTTGCCACAATAAAGAAAATTTTAGACATGTTTAAGACACAATGACAACAAATGGTTGTTGTTGTTGTGAAGTGCCATCGAGTCGGTTCCAACCCATAGCAACCCTGTATAGGGTTTTCAAGGAGCAGCTGGTGAGCGTGAACCACCGACTATGACAGCAAATAGACAACCTGAAACCAAAACCACCCTCCCCATCATCGAGATGATTCTGGCTCCAGCACCACACAGAGCAGAGCAGAATTGCCCCCAGAGGGTTTCCAAGTCTGTGACCTTGACAGGAGTGGGTGCCCTCACCTTTCTCTTGTGAAGCAGTCAGTGGGGCCAAACCACCATCCTTTCAGCTAGCAGCTGAGTTTTTAACCACTGCCCCACCAGGATTTTTTTTTTTTTTTAATCTTTGCTGAAAAAACAAAGTCACTTTTAGATTTGATGAAATACGGTTAAAGTTCCAGAATCTGGAGCCTTTGGCCAGAGATTTGCACAGCAGAAATGGGTCAGACCCAGAAGACATGAGCAGACACTTGACCACAGACGGCATCGAGGCAGCCAACAAATAAAAGAAAAACTGCTTGAGATCATTGGCCATTGGTGGTGATGTGCCATGGAGTCGGTTCCAACTCATAGTGACCCTGTTACAGGGTTTCTGAGGCTGTAAATCTTTACAGGAACAGAAAGCTCCATCTTTCTCCCACAGAACAGCTGGTGGATTTAAACTGCTGACCTTGGGGGTAGCAGCCCAACACATAATCCACTATGCCACCAGAGCGCTTTCATTGGACATGGTTGTTGTTGTGTGCCATCAAGTCAGCTCCAACTCATATCAACCTGTATAGCCCTTCAGTTTTCAAGGGAGCAAAAAGCCTCTTTCTCCTGGTGGAGCAGCTGGTGGGCTCAAACCCCAGACCTCGTGGTTCTCAGTCCAATGCTATGTATGGAGCCATCACGTTCCCCTTCATTAGCCTCGGTTGTTAGTTGTTGTTAAGTGCCACTGAGTCACTTCCGACCCATAGCGACCCTGTATAGGGTTTCTGACAAGCAGCTGGTGAGCTTGAACTGCTGACCTTGCTGTTCAAACCAACTTCGCAGTCCAGCTCATTAACCCACAGCACCGCACCATTGTCCTTTAGAGACTGCAAATCAAATGATGATGAGTTATCATCATCTCACTCCAGTATTAGTAGAAAAGTTAAAAAAAAATTAATGAAACAATTGCTGACAAAGGTGTGGAGAGACTGGGACCCTCCTACACTGCTGGTGAGACTATAAAATGGTACGACCACAGTGGAAAACAGTGTGGCATTTCCTCAAAAAGTTGGAAATAGAAAGACCATATAATCCAATAACCCTACTACTTGGTATACAAGTATATCCTAGAGCAGTCGTGGAGAATGTCTGGCCCGAGGGCCATATGTTGTTGTTAAGTACCTTAGAGTTGGTTCTGACTTATAGTCACCCTGTTTAGGGTTTCCAAGGAATGGCTCCTGAGTTTGAACCACCGACCTTGTGGTTCAAACCGACCTTGCAGTTCAGTGCTTTATTTTACAGTGCCACATCAGGAGTCCTTATGTTGTTGTTGTTGTTGTTGTTAAGTGCTGTCAAGTCGGTTCCAACCCATAGCGACCCTATATAGGGTTTCCAAGGAGCAGCTGATGAGCTTGAACTGCCAACATTGCAGTTCAAACTGACTTTGTAGTACAGCGCATTAATCCACAGCTTCACACCAGGAGTCCAGGAGCCCTTGTAAGGCCTTGAAATGATTTGGTCTGGCCCAGCCATCACGTTGTTGTTGCTAAGGCCATTGAGTCAATTCCAATTCATAGCAACCCTGTAAAGGGTTTCTGAGGAGTAGCTGGTGGGTTTAAACCACTGGCCTTTAGGTTCAAACTGACCTTGTAGGTCAGTGCATTATGCTGCAGCACTACACCAAGACTCCACCATCACATTAGGGATGAGTTAATTAAATGTTTGACCAAATATAACATGCTAAGTTTTAAGTTGATAATTTTGTGGGGCCCTCAAATGTTTTTTTTAAATTTTGGCAGAAAAAAGTTTCCCCAGCCTTGTCCTAGAGAAGTAAGAGTGAGCTCACAAATAGATCTGTGCACATGCATGCATGTTCATCGCAGCACTGTTCACAGTAACAAAAAGATGGGAACAGCTTAAGTGCCCATCAGTGGAAGTATGGACAAACTATGATACATACACACAATGGAATACTTGGGGCTGTTGCTGTTGTTGGGTACCGTCAAGTCGGCGCCAACTCATAGAGACCCTGTATAGGGTTTCCAAGGAACAGCTGATGGGTTTGAACTGTCGACCTTGTGGTTCGCAGTCCAGTGCTGATCCTACACAACCTTAAAGAGTAACGACGAATCTATGAAACGCTTTCTAACGTAGAAAAATCTGGAGGATATTATGTTGAGCGAAATAAGTCAATCACTAAAGAACAAATACTGTATAAGCCCACTGTTGTAAAAAAGTCAAGAAACAGTTCATCTTGTGATCAAACACAAGTACGGAGGACTGAGGTGGGAGGCAGGAACCACTACCTCTGAAGCTCAGAGAGCAGGTCTGTGTCTGCAGAGCCACTTCTGCTGATATACTGCCCAGAGCCACCCTCCATGGTGATTCATCACTGGTGTGTGGAGACAGCCCACCTACCTGTCAGTGTTTATGGAAGTGCTGATTACCTAGCTCTGTCACATAATACATCATGTAGCATGTCAGAGAGCTGAATGAAGCTGCTAACAGGCAGATGTTAGACATCCCATACATCACGGCTGCAGGACAGGCGTAATGTTTATCCTCCCATTGCAAATTGTTGATTGAGGTTTCTGGTCTTGTGGGAACCCCATAGCCCTGCAGAAGTGCTGCTCATAAAAATCAGACTTTAGCAATGTGTTTTAAAGTGAAAGGAGTCCTGGTGATACAGTGGTTAAGGATTCAGCTGCTAACTGAAAGGTCAGCAGTTCAAACTCACCAACTGCTCCATGGGAAAAGATGTGGCGATCTGCTTTTATGAGTGCAGACTTGGAAACCCAAGGGGCATTCTACTGGGCCCTATAGGGTTCTCTGTGACTCAGAATTAGCTTGTCGGAAATTGGTGGTTTTATTTGAAATAAAGGCTCTTGTTGTTAAGTGCTGTCAAGTCGGTTGCAACTCATAGTGACCTTACATAGGATTTCTAAGAAGCGGCTGGTGAGTTTGAACCATCAACCTGTGGTTCAAACCAACCTTGCGGTCCAGTGCTTATCCTACAGCACCACACCAGGACTCCATATATAAAGGCTCTAGGAAAATATTTTTTAAACTCTGTGGTAATAACCTAAAAGATGAAGCTTCCTGTTCCTGTAAAGATCCACAGCCTTGGAAATCCTACTCAGGGTCGCTATGAGTACGAGTTGACTAAATGACAGACAGTAGGTTTGGTGGGTGTGGGGGGTGCTAAACTAATTTGTTTTGTTGTTGTGTTTTGTTTTCATTTCACATGTGTCATTGACTAATACTTGGGTAACGTGCAGAATTATGCTTGGATGTGATGTGCAGCTATATCCAATGGCTACACAAGTTTCTAATACTTCAACTCACAGACACCTTTCTCTGTTGACCTGTAACACACAGTCCACAAACAGCCAAGTTCTTTGGACGACCCTCTTGAGGAACACTGATCTAGGGGAGACTTTTATGTCTAAAATGTAGTCTCAAAACTTGACAGTTGCCACAACAAATCCAAGCACATTCTGTAATTCTGTTGTGTACAAAAGCCTGAAGATTACAAGTCAATCATTTCTACCCAAACTGCATACACACACACAGAGTATTTACCTTTTCTGAGCTGTGACTCAAAGGATAGAATAGCAATATAGACTCATATGTGCCAGACCACAGGACATAGATCACACTATCAGAGTATCCCAAAGGATTATGGGAATGCCACCATCCTTCTAAGACTTAAGTAAGAACATAGCTCAGGATGGTTATCACTGTGTTTACTTCTTCACCTTAAACATTTTCATAGCCCCTGTTGATATATGCCCTGACACAAGCTGCAGAGGATGGGAAGACATTTCCTCAAGGTTGTACCATCTCAGTTGCTTTCTTATCACATTGTATTTGAAGCAGAGGGGTCAAATAGAGGGGACCATGAGAGTCCAAGACATTTATTTCATTGGATATGTTAAGCAACTTTATTTTTAGAACCTGCATCCTTCCTTCCTGGCAAAGTCCAAGATCCTGGATATTGAGGTGACACTTTTAAGGAAAAAATAAAATGCAAAGTCATCTTTGAAAATCTAAAGACTCAAAATATGAGAAGTTCATTAATAATGTTTATGAACGTATAAGCCTCTCAAAGACATCGAATATATTCATTTCCTGAATGTGTTTGGAATTGTCTCCAAAAGGGTACTGTATAGCTTTCATGTAATCCATTCTTGTTAACCTAGATACTGACATGTGGATTTGATTTGTGTGTGTTTCAGGACAAAGGCTCGAATTTGGAGCCTCAGCAGCACTTTAATGCACGTGGCATGAGTACCTCTGGACTTAACACCAGTCATTCACCTTCAACATCCTCAAGAAGTTCACACAAATCCTCACACACAGCCATGTCTGAGCCCACCTGTGAGTATGATTCCATAGACAAGGAGGAGGGAGGGATGGGTACCCCATGGGGAATGAATGATCTCCTCAAGGATGTCAGAGTAAGCTCCTGCTTAGGAAGAAAACAGCAGTCACCTGTTGACAGGTCTTTGCTTCCTGCCCATTGACTTCCTGCCTTCAGATCACACTCTTGTATTCCCAGTGAAACAAGAAGCAAAGACATAAAGCAGAGGAAATGCCTCCCAGCTGCTATCTAGTTTCTCTGAGAGGGTGTGTGTGCAGGGAGGTGGTTGAACCACATGGTGGAGATAAAGCTTGGGAATTGTGTGTGGTCTTCTACCTGCTGGCAGGGCGGGTTGGATGCTGGTACAGTCTAGGTAACCCACATCCTTTATCAGAGATTACAACCACACTCATATTGCGTGTACACTGTAGTCACAGTTACCTCTTAATAAGAAAGCTATGGGATGTGTGTGAGTCAGGAAGGTTATCCATTGCTTTCTTACAGCCACTCCAACCAAGCTGATGGCAGAGGCCAGCACCACCACACTGCCAAGATCGACCACCCTCCCCCAAGAGTTGCCCATGCCAGTACTCAGCCAGGCAGTCACGATGCCGGTATGTGTGTGAACCCGAGTGTCTGGACTGGGGCATGCTACAGGGACATGCTACAGGGGCCAGTGGAGCCACAGGCAGCGGGCCACATCTTCCCAGAGAATCCGTTTTCCTGGAAAACTAGGTTGCAGGTTAGGAGTGGGAAGTTAAGTAATTTAATTGGTGAGTAATATTAAACATTTTTATACCAAAACTAAGTGGTGTAATGCTGTATAGGATCAACACTGGTCTACTAACGACAAGGTGGGTGGTTCAAACCCACCAGCTGCTCCTTGGGAACCCTGTATAGGGTCACTGAGTCAGAACCGACTTGACAGCATTTAACAACAACAACATGGAGGCATAGTCAAAGAATACAAAATTCAAATGAATTTTAAAGGTAAAATTTAAGCCTTCAAACCTGGGACCAAACCCTTCCCCAGAGCCTCTGGGGGTACATGATCAAGGTCTTTCCTGTTAGAGGGACTCCAAGCGAAAATGCCGGAGAAACTTGATATTCACAACAATGTCTTTCTCCTCTAATGGTGTCTCTGTGAGTTGGAATTGATGGCAGCTGGTTTGGTTTTTGGTTTTAGGTTTTAGGTAGTGTTTCTGAAAGGTGGCACAATGGTTAAGCACTCAGCTTCTAACAGAAAGATTGTTGTTGTGAAATGCCATTCAGTCGGTTCTGACTCATAGCAGCCCTGTACAGGGTTTCCAAGGAGCAGTTGGCGGGTTTGAACCGTCAACCTTTCTGTAAGCAGTCCAGTGTTTATCCTACAGCACCATGCCTGGACTCCAGAAAGGGAGGTGGTTCAAATCTACCAGCAGCTTCATGGAAGAAAAGACTTGGTGATCTGTTCCTATAAAGAAGACAGTCTAGAAAGCACCATGGGGCAGTTCTGAGTCAGGATGTGCTCGGTGGCACACATCAACAGCATCCCCAATATGTGTATTCAGGTCTCTCTGAAAAGTATGCTGGCCCGTAATTTATTCCCGTTACCTGTTTCTGTGTAACAAACCACACCAAATATAGCGGCATCAAACAGTCATGATTTCTCATGTTCCTAGAGTCTGTGAGTCGGGAACTCAGACTCATAGGGCTCCATGGAGATAGCTCTTCTCTGCTTCATGATGCCCAAGAGCTCACCAGTGGGTGGCTCTGGTGATTACGGCTGGACAATCGAGATGGGAAGGAGCCACATCCCAGATGATGGCAACCGGGATGACTGGAGGCTGTGCTCTGTGGAGATCATTGGACAAGCTCGGAGCACGTACATCCGTGTCCACGTGGCTTCTCACAGGAAACGCCTAGAGGGCGAGTTTTCTGAGAGCCTGCGGAAGCTGTCTGGTCTCCTGTGACCTAGCCTTGGAAGCCACAGAACGTCAAGTCTGCCATACTCCGTCGGAGCCATCACAAGCTGGCCCACAGTCAAGGGGAGGAGGCACAGACCCGCACCTCTGATGGGAGATGTATTGGAAAGATTTAGGGGCCACATTCTGAGAGTTCATACTGGTACACATCCCTCACCAGCATTTTGGAGATGGGAATGAATTTGTCACTTTCCTGCTCAGCCTGCTTGAAAAGCTTGGGTTACAAGTTATATTTATAGAACCATTTACTGTCTCTCCAGCCTCTTAGATGTGCTTGTAAGCTGTGACTTATTCTTCCGACTACTTTTCTGTCCAGTATAAATCTTCTACCACTGATGGCAACCCAGAACTGTCTCATTGACTCTGAGCCGTGAGGGAAACATAATTAGACACAAAACCAGAGTCTATGTTAGTCTTGTACTTGAGACTTCTCACTCAGAACAAAGGCCTCTTGTTGCCATTTCTACGCGCTGTTCTTCTGAGTGACAATTTCCATTTTGGCCAATTGTTGGGTTTTTTTGTAATCTTCAGGGACTGGTGATAGTTTGGGAATAATTTCAGAAGAGTCCTTTTGCTTTGCTTTTAAAAACTCTGGCCTGTGAAGTTGTCAAAGGCTTCATTTTACTGGGCTCCACCATCAACACTCATGGAAGCAGCAGTCACGAAATCAGATGACGTGTTGCATTAAGCAAATCTGCACAAGACCACTTTAAAGTATTCAAGAGCAAAGATGTCACTTTAAGGATGAAAGGGCACCTGACCCAAGCTATGGTGTTTTCAGTAACCTTATAGGCCCGTGAAAGTTGGACAATGAATAAGGAAGACCATAGAAGAATTGAAGCTTTTGTTTTGGTATTGGAGAAGAATATTGAAAGTACCATGGGCTGCCAGAAGAACAAACAAATCTATCTTGGAAGAAGTAAAGCCAGATTGTTCCTTAGAAGTCTCTCATACTTTGGACACATTGTCAGAAAGGACCAGTCCCTCGAGAAGGACATCATGCTTGGCAAAAGAGAAACACCCCAGTGAGATGGCTAGGCACAGTGGCAGCAGCAGTGGGCTCAAGCATAATGACGATTGTGAGGATAGCTCAGGACTAGGCAGCGTTTGTTCTGTTACACACAGGGTCGCTTATGAGTCGGGACCAAACAGTAACAACATGAAGTTCATTTCTCATTTCTGCATATTGCCTTTCCCCCCAACATCCACTAAGGGATCAGGGATGAAGCAGTGTGACTCAGTTGGCTTCCCAGGAGTCCCTTTAAAAGAGTCCCTCTAGGGCCTGGTGACACTCAATAAATTTACCTGGATGCGTCCATGTGTAACATATACAAACACAGCACATTTGCCGGGCTTCATTCATGCTGAGCAGAAAAGGTTAACACTGGATACTTAGTCCTCTGGTCATTAGTACAACCCACTCATGCTGTTTAATGACATTGCTAAGAATTTGTTCATTTGGGGAAAGAGCAAACAAATCTATCAAAATGGAGTTTAGAAGTGGGGGCACAGAAAACGGGGCATAACGAGAGCCACCAACCTAGGCAGGCTTTGTAGCACACACCATCGTAGGAAGGAATCTAGGGACTTAAGAGATACCTGCCCCCCAAAGCAGCTGTGTGTCCTTGCTGGCCCCGTTTCCTACGTAGAAGGCAATGTAGCCTGCTGTGTAGAGGTGTATCTAGGGTGTGGCCGTACCTGTGGTACGTGCCCCAGGTGCCCCTTGTAGGGGAGACCCAGTGAGCAGTTTCTATTCACCCTGGCAGTTTCCATCACCAGCTGTGAGAGATCCTTCAGCAAGTTCAAACGAATAATTCCCATCCATGCGCCTCAGCTGCTGCTGTCTGCTTTTCCTGGGGAACAGGTGCCGGTACTTTCCTGAAGTCTGGGTGTTCAGATCCTCACTCCAGTGCAGAAGTGCGTTCCTTCTTTATGCCAGACAAACCAGCCCCTGAAAGATCGCATCGCTGCGTCTCTGGATTCATCCAGAAGCAGACTTCGGTAACAGTCTTTTCCCTTCCCCTCCCAGCCTCCTCTGCTTTCTCAGTCGTCCTGTGACCTTGCACAGCAGCTGTTGCCTCAGACCATTTTGCAGAACCCACCTGCCCCCATGACACAGGTGAGTCTGGGACCAGTGCGTGCCATCTTCTTGAGCTTGTGGGCGCAACGGGCCTGATGCGTGCTTCTGTTGACAGGTACCAAACCAAGGACCCAAACACGGGCTCCTTCTCCCATATGGCTCTATGAACTCTCCCGACACATCCCCCTCCACCACCAGTCTTGACTTCTCCAGATACATTCTTAGTGCCTGTTGCGCATGATCTTTGTCCATATCTCCAGCACTCTTTTTTTGCTCTCCCATTGTTTATGACTCCAGACTGACTCTGATATTTTAGAAAAGGTCTGAATTAGTCCAAATGTCATAGGAAAACTGAAGGAAACTATAAATTGTAATTCCAGTATTATAAATGTTACATTTGTCTAGAAAAAAAAAATTGCTACTCTGTCCTCTGGTAAGTAGATCATTCACTCTAACAACAATATTCAGTGAGTTACAATTTAGATCATTTGGTATCCTAGGTATTAGGAATGCAAAGGTGATTGTACCACAATGTTTGCCTTTTAGTTAAAGAGAAAGAGGCGTGTAAACAGAGCAAACACCCCACGGCGGGACATGAATTTTTAAAGGACCATTAAGAAATATTCTGCCTAGGGAAGTCCAACGTGGCTTCCCAGTGGAGGTGGCACCTGAACTAAGCCAGGAGGACGGGTAAGAGGACGTCAGATAGAGAAATGAGAGAAGGTGGGGCCCAGTCACATCTTCTGCAGTGAGGGAAGATTCCTGAGAAGTTGGGGGAATAAGGACCAATCTGTGTGTGACTGTAGATCATGAACTCACACAGAGGTCTGGAGCTGACTGAGTGGTCTCTGAGGAGGCCAGAACCATGATTTCCTTTGTAGTTACCAACTCAGCTGCTAACTGAAAGGCTTGCAGTTCAAACTCACCAGAAGCTTGTAGAAGAAAAGACGTGGTGATTTACTTTACTTCTGTAAAGATTATTGTTAAGTGCCATTGAGTCGGTTCCAACTCCTAGCAACCCTGGTATAGGGTTTCCAAGGAGCAGCTGGTGAGTTTGAACTGCTGATCTTGCAGTTCAAACCAACTATGCGATCCAGTGCATTATCCTGCTGCGCCCCACTTAGCAAACCCTATGGGATTGTTCTCTCGTCTATAGGGACAGTTCTGCTCTGTCATATTGGGACACTGTGAATTGGAATTAACTCAACAGCACACAATAACAATAACATGGACTATTTAGCTTTGCCACAAACTAGACCTGGATTCCAGGGAGCAATTTGCCAATGTTTGCTGCTGACCTATGTGTGTGCTTCTCTGTGTTGGGGCATATCTGTCACCATAAATGCAACCATTTTAGAACATATGCCGTTTTAGCACTGGGCCTAATGAATGCTCTCCTTAAATAAGAAAGACACATGCTTCTTGCTAGAATTAGCCTGGGTAATGATGTAAGTGTGTCCTGCTGTGGCGATGTAGAATAAGCACAGGACTTCAAGGTCTGTTTGAACCGCGAGGTCAGCAGTTCAAACTCACCAGCCACTCCTCAGAAACCGTATACAGAGTCGCTATGAGTCGGAACCAACTCAATGGCACTTAACAACAACACCAGTGATATGAGGGAGTCCTGGTGTGGTGCTGGAGGATAAGCAGGGGAGTGCTTACCACAAGGTCACCTGTTCAAATCCATCAGCCACTCCTGGGAACTCTGTCCAGGGTGGCTATGAGTCAGAACCGATTTGATAGCACATAACAACAGTGTAATGGTTACGAATCGGGCTGCTAACCTCACACTCAGCAGTTCGAAACTACCAGCTGTTCCACGGGAGAAAGATGAGGCTTTCTGCTCCCGTAAAGATTTGCAGCCTCGGAAACCCTGTACAGGGTCGCTATGAGTCAGGACAGACTCCACGGCACATAACAACAACAACAACAGTGATAGAACAAGAATTACTGGAGATGTAGAGCTTAAGTGCTCAGCTGCTAACCAAAAGAGCAGCAGTTTGAGCCCACCAGCAGCCAAATGGGAAAAACACGTGGCAGTCTGCTTCCATAAAGATTATTATCTTGGCGACCCTATGGGGTTGTTCTACTGTCTTATAGAGGGTACTATGAGTTAAAATCAGCTCAACAGCAATGGATTTGGGGTTAATGATGTAATAGTTCCTCATTCAGTGTCTGCTGGTGCTGTAGGGAAAACAGCTCCTTGGAAACCCTATACAGGGTCAGAAGCATTTCAACAGCAGTTAACAATATTAAACAAAAAAAGCAGTGTTTATAATGCATAGGGTAATGAAGGGCTTTTGGCGATTCTAATTTTTTCATGTACCGCTCTTCATTTTACTATGTGATCATTGGGTTGTTGTTGTGTGCTGTTGAGTCCACTCAGGCTCTCAACCACACTATATGGGTTTCTGAAAGTGGCTGGTAGGTTTGAATTCCCGACCTTGCAGTTAGCAGTCCAGCGTTTATCCTACAGTGCCACACACCCCCAAAAAAGCCTTTTTTTTTTTTTGGCTTCAGACTGAGTTTCTAAATGTTTCTAAGTTAGAATAGATCTCTTTATCAAAAAGATAAAGACTGTGACAATAATTGGGTGTCCTGAAATGCCTTGAGAAAGAATAATACTTCTAGAAGTAATGAATAATAATTTTAGACAGAGCCCAGGGTCCTTGTGGGCTGCCCACTCCTGACTATTCCACTGGGAGTAGACCCCCGCCCTCCCCACTAGACTTGGCAGGGTCACGCCTGTGCCCCGGTGCACCTTGACTCCACAGACCCCGCCTCTGAAGCTCTGGTATTTTTAAAATTTAAGTACAAGATAGAGTTTGTTTATTTTCTCAGGCTCATTCTCTTTTCAAATCCCAGCTGAGTGCTTTATTTAATTAGTTGCGTCCTGATGGAGGTTTTTGCGTTGCATCCTGGTATCCTGCAGGTACCTTTCAACTCCCCTTCCTAGCACAACTTTTATTTTAAATGAAGTCTTATGTCAAAGCCTTTCTGATTGAGGTGGGGTTGGGAGCGGGAGTTTGCTGGCAAAACCTCTTGGCCTCACTCAGTTCCTGCACTCGGAATTCACATTTTGGTCCCAGCTACATGATCCTGAGCAAGTAACCGCCTGTCTCCCTGGATGGGTTTACTGTGAAGAATAAGAGTCTTCTCTGCCTCGGCCGCTCCTTGGAAACCCTATACAGGGTCGCTATGAGTCAGAATAAACTCAATGGCACTTAATTAACAACACCATAATGCCTTGGGTGGATAGTGCAAATAGTTAATGCACTTGACTGCTTATCAAAAGTCTGACGATTTGAATTTACCCAAAGGCACCTCAGTAGCAAGGCCTGGAGATCTGCTTCTAAAAATCACCCATTGAAACCCTGTGGAGCACAGTTCTACTCTGATCCATGTGGAGTCCCCATGAGTTGAAATTGACTCCCAGCAGCCACCACCACCTACAGCTGTAACAATCTAGCGTGAGAGCAAGCAACTACCTGTGACTACAGCCCTCATCCACAACTGCTGTCCATGGCTAAGAACTCACCAGCAGGGGGCTGTTAGGGGTGCTGGGAGTCTAGGTAAGGGACCAGAAAGGAAAATGGCTAAGATTGGTCAAAAGAGCAGCAAAGGTCTGTCTGCAAGGCTAAAATAACTTTTGTATCTGTTTGTCTGTTTTGTTTTTTCCATAACTCCCCCTGGAAGTTTTCAGCACAGTTCAGCATGTTCCAGACCATCAAAGACCAGCTGGAGCAGCGGACGAGGGTCCTGCAAGCCAACATCCGGTGGCAACAGGAAGAGCTGCATAAGATTCAAGAGCAGCTCTGCATGGTGCAGGACTCCAGCATCCAGGTGACTCCCTTCCTGAGCCTCTGCCTCCCTGCCTTCTAATCACACCTCTGCCCTTCTAGAGAGAGCTCTTGCCTTCTACTGATCAAGAATAGTCAGGTTAAAGAGAGTTTCCATATGAGCAAATGTTTGTTATGGGAAGGAGGCTTACAAGCAGAGATCAACAAAGGCTTTGATGGGATTTTAAAAGTTTTGGGGTAGGAAAAAAGGCATCTTGTTTATTCATAGAGATAGGCGGGGTTTTCTGGGAAGTGGCCCATGTAGGAGGGGCCGTGCTAATTGGGCACTTGTGCAGCATTTCTTCAAGATGGATTCCACTGCAAAGGCCTCTAGTAAGGACAGGCAGAACTCATTATGGGATATCACAACGTCATGGTTCTTCAGCACTCTGGTTCCAGTCCCTCCCAAGGTAAGTAAAAACAGACTGTACACAGAAGTAAAATACAGAAATGTTAGGTTGGAATTAATGCTTTTCACTCTCCAAGAGGTCCTCTAGGTTCCCTGTGCCAGGGAGACTTGGAGAGGTCAAGTAGCAGATGGGGGTTAGGCCACATGAGGGCCTCAGCTGGGGCCATCATAACTGCTCAGGTAGCTTCTCCAGGGAACTGTGGGACTACCATCCCCTGCTGAGAATCCACTCAATGAACATTTGTTGAGCACCTACTGTATATGTCCCAGGCACTGGGGGATACAGTAGAGAACCAAAGAGCCCTTCTGTCCTTGAGACAAAGTCTTTGCTTTCCTGCTAACTCTCTCTAAGAGACCCCTAGGCTCCCTGCCTTACTCTATGATGTGTATGTATCCTCCATACTGCGTGATGGGTTCTACTTACGAAACATGTCGAAACCTCCATGGACAGAGTACAAAGAAAATTAATCCCATCTCCTCCACCCCCACTGCCAAGCCAAGCAGGAAACTCCCGTGACGTCTGCTGCCCTCGGCAGTCCCTTGACAGGGACACAGTGTTAGCTTTACCCCCTCCCTTTCCTTTCGTGCCATGCATGAGGCCAGCTTGCTCAGTCTTGGGTTGTAAGCTCCCAGCACCAGTGTAACTTAGCTTTTATCAGAGATGGGAGCAGCTCTGCTCTCTGTTTCTTCTCATGATTCCAGAGAGGTTATGGGAAATGTTGGTATTTGCACTGCATTGCAAGGCTCTGGGAGTCCTGGTGTGGTGCTATAGGATAAGCACTGTACCACAAGGTTGGTTTGAACTGCAAGGTCAGTGGTTTAGACTCACCAGCCACACCTTGAAAACTCTATACAGGGTTGCTATGAGTCAGAACCAGCTCGATAGCACTTAAAAACAAGCAAGTTTGCTTCTGACCTAATTGTTGGTGGTTTGAACCCACCTACTAGTGCCATGGAAGAACAGCCTGGTGATATGCTTTTGGAAAGATTACAGTGAAGAAATCCCAGCAGATCAGTTCTGTAACACATGGGTCACTATGAATCAGAATAGACTTAGTGACAACGAGTTTCTGTTTGTTTGGGGCACTGCACTGTGAAGGCAAGAGCAGAGGATGCCGGGGCTGGACCTCAACTCCCTGGCAACCCTGTTCCCCACTGTGGCTCACCAGTCAGATGCTCTGTGTCCCCTGTCGATAGTAACTTTCTCTATTGCCCACAGACTTTACTCATTTGAGTTCTTTAGAGCGAGTCTCTTTGGTCTGTTTTTTTTTTTTTGGTTTTGTTTCTATACTGTTATTCAATAATTTACTTGGCCATAAACTTGACTTTTGTCTCAAGCCCCTTTTGTACTTTTTCCCAGAGGCATGAACAAGCTCTGGGAACCAGTCCATCCCTCACCAGCCTCCAGAGACAACTGCCATTATCCTGCCCTGTCCTCAGTCATTGGTCTGTCACCTGAGAGATAGCCCATTACAATTTGTCAGAGACCCATGAGTCCACAGCTCCCACCAGGGCCGTTCCTGGGCACGTGGTATCATTCTGACATGAGCAAGACACGATAGGATGCGAGGGAATGTGTGGGTGGTCTCCACTCTTGTGAAGATGCTCCACAGCCATAGCTGGCTTTGGAGTCTGGCTACCTCCTAGACCAGGGGTAGGGTTCCCATTCTCTCAGATGCAGGAAGGTAGACTCAGAACTCACCACAGGAAGGAAGTATCTTGAGCCCACTTTCTGAGGTACTCCCATACGTCTTTGTGCTTCTCATTGTCCTTCTGATTAGATGTGGTTCCTTCAGTTGGAGAGTCTTTAATGAGTGTGTATATGTGCCTCTGAGAGAGATCTCTTTCCCATTGTGCTTCCTCCACAATGTGCTGTCTATATTCCGAATCCTTTCTAGAGAGATACTTCTTAGAGGCAAAACTTTATGTATTAATCCTCTTCCAAGGTTAGATTATTTTTACCAAGTTTCAGTTATGTCAGCCCATGAGTTTGCTTTTTCAAGGGGTGGGAAATACATTATTTTGATATAGCATCTAATGTAAAGGAGTCCTGGTGTGGCACTGGGTTAATGCGCCAGACTGCAAAGCCGTTTGAACTGCAAGGTTGACAGTTTAAGCTCACCAGCTGCTCCATGGAAACCTTATACAGTGTCGCTATGGGTCGGAATCTACTCAACGGCACTTAACAACAACAACACCTAATTGTAAATACTGAAGTCTTACTGGTTGAGGTAGGGTTGGCAGTAGGGGTTTGCTGGCAAAACCTTGTGGCCTCACTATGTCCTAGATCCTGAATTCCCTTTTAGGCCCTATCCCACCACCATCTAGTGTCCTTGGTGTGCTGCTGTAGGGTAAGCACTGGACTTCTAACCACAAGGTCGGTAGTTCAAACCCACCAGCAGCTAGCTAAAATTGTAGCCTTCTTGGAGACCTCAAAGCATTTGCATGTCCCCTTAAAAAAGACAGGAGTCTAATAAAAACTGGGGAGTAGTTAATCTTACAGTCCAGAAACAGAGGACCCTAGGTCCATCAAGGAAGAAGAGCATGAATGGAATGTGGGACCCTATCCAAAGAAACAGCGACACCAAAGATGGAGGCAGAGATGGGAACATGGAGAGAGGGATCAGGTGAGGACTCTAGACTCCTGGAAGAGAGGGACTGGGTGCTGGCGGCCAGGAAGCAGGCTTGCAGAATGTGCCCTTTGGGTGTTTAAGTTATTGTATATACTCCTGAGTGTTTTAGTGTACATCTCCCCACCCCACCTCACTCCACCCCTCCAAAAAAAGAAAAACAGAGGGAATGGAATTAAATACTCTTGAATGATGATGCACGGAGGAGATTGTAATCATTGCAATGAAAAGATGGTGAAAAGCCGATGTTCTCCCATGTAAAGTATCACTCAGTTCACAATAAATAATAATAAATACCAAAAAAAAAAGACAGGAGTCCTTGGGTGGTGCAGATGGTTAAGTGCTGGGATGCTAACCAAAAGATTGGCAATTCAGACCCACCCAAAGGCATCTCAGAAGAAAGGTCTGGCAACGTACAGGATAATATTCATTGAAAACCCTATGGAGCGCAGTTCTGCTGTGACACACACGAAGTTGTCCTGAGGTGAGTCCGGATGGGCTCACCAGCAGCTGTGTAGGTGGGGTTTTATTCAGAGAGACAGAAGGAAGCAGAAGGTAGCGCATGAGAATGTCTGGAGCATTGTCCATTGTCCATGTAGATCTTTCACTGGACACCCAATGTCCTGAAACACAGTGGTACTATGGCAGGCCAGGCCCATTCTAGGCACAGCCACCATGCGCAGAGCGGCTGGGGATAGCTGTACAATGGTGCGATCTTGTTGACCAACTTTGCTTCCTTTTTTGCCAGTATCTATGCCAGGCCTCCCAGAGTCACTCTGTAGGCTTTTCAGACCTGTACTGCCCCTCCCGATTCTCACCCTGCCCAGCTCTCAGGGCCCAAGGTCCCATGTCCTGGCCTTAGGTGCTCAGGCCCTGCCGTGCAGAGTCGGGGACACGTGCGGGGTACACAGAGAGCCGGCAGCTCCCTAAGCATTCCTCGGCTCACGTCTCTCCTGCCCACTCTTTACCTACACCCAGGAAATCACCAAGGAGAAGACTGCAGATCAGAAATGCAAGGAAGTGGAGCCATCAGGGTACCAAAGTTTGTTTTACTTATTCCTTCCCAGCTCTAATATTTTCTCACTGCCTGGTTAGCCCACAACTGGCTGAACTCCAATTACTTTAATGGAATCTTACCATCACTCAGCCTACTCGACTGCCTTCGAATAGCTTACTAACTCATGGCAACTCTATAAGACAAAGTAGAATTTCTTAGTCTTTCCAAGGCTGTAAATCTTTATGGATGTACAAAGTCACATCATTCTCCCTCAGAGCGACTGGTGGGTCTGAACTGCTAACCTTGGGGTTAGTGGCCCAACACTTAACTCGCTATGCCACCAGGATTCCCTTTATACTCAAAGGAAACAGAAAATTGCTAAAAGTGAGGTGAGCCTATGAACATTTTCCTCAGAGCTCAGGTTTGTATATTTCCTGTCTTCCCAACTTTAAAGCTGGATTTTAAAATGACAGGTTAGGAAATTATGTCCTTCACTCTTTGTGATCAAGAATTTTTTTTTCCTCCTCAGTACAAATATATTTTGTTATCCCCAAAAACACATATGCTGGAAGAGGACATAAATTGCGTAAGGACGTAGAGCAAGACAAAGCCCTCTTGTGTGTCCTTCCCTCCTCTCATCCCCGGACCTTCCCTGTGCAGTGGAAAACCCATAAAAAGTCAGCTCAGAAAACATTTCCTTAAGCAACTTGCCTTGTTGCTCTTTTGCAAGATTAAAGACTTAAAGAGGAGTCCCTGGGTGACTTGAAGAAATACATTACAAATTGGCCAAAATGAGCTATTTGTTTAAGGGGGTTAGAACTGCATGAATCAAGAATAAAAAATGTTGTTGTTGGGAAGTGCAGGTTCTGACTCATAGAGACTCTGTATAGGGCTTCCAAGGGTGCAAATCTTTGCAGAAGCAAAAAGCCTCATCTTATTCCCAGGGGAGCGACTGATGGGCTCGAACCACTGACATTGTGGTCCCATAGGTTTTATCCTACAGAGCCACCATGCCCCCATAAGAAAAGTTGTTATTAAGTGCCATCGAGTCAGTTCCAACCCATAGCAACCCTATATAGGGTTTCCAAGGAGCACCTGGTGAGCTTGAACTGCTGACCTTGAGGTTCAAATGGACCTTGCAGTCCAGCGCATTAGCCCGCAGCACCACACAACGGGTATAAATTACTCTGCATCTCACCCCAAAATTGAATAAATAGATGAAGTAAGAATTAGCAAAACATTGCTAATTGCTGAAACTGCATTATGTGTGGGGTTTTTCACTACACCATTCCCCTAGTTTTGTTTACTTCAGAAAATTGCTTTGCTTAAGAATGTTCTGTAGTATTTCTTCTATAAGCAGAAAAGATAAGTGAAAACTCCACATATGAAAATAGGATTCATTTGTTCTTGAAAATTAAAAGTATATTTTTCCTCTGACAAGTTTTCCCACTTGAATTACAGAACTCGTTTTCTTCATACATTCTATCAAATGGACCCCAGAGCCAAGAAACCATCTTCTGAAGCCACGTTCTTGAGCCAGGACATTCAACTTTACTGTTGATAGCAAGTCAGGATTTCTCAATCTGAGGGAGCTTCAAAAAGTTCATGAACAAATGGAATGGAAAGATAGTGGCATTTCCCCGTGAACTAATTGAAGCCCCTAATATAAGGACCTGTATGGTAGCGTAGTGGTTACGAATCAGGCTATGAACCGCAAGGTCAGCAGTTCGAAACTACCAGCTGTTCCGCGGGAGAAAGATGAGGCTTTCTGCTTCTGTAAAGATTTACAGCCTCCGTAACCCTGTACAGGGTAGTTATGAGTCGAAATGAGTCGGAACTGACTCCACGACACATAACAACAACATCTGAACTTGTGTGGAGTCCTAGTGTCACGCTGTGGGTTAATGTGCCAGACTGCGAAGCTGTTTGAACTGCAAGGTCGGCGGTTCAAGCTCACCAACTTCTCCTCAGCAGGGTCTCTCTGGGTTGGCACCAACTCAACGGCACTTAACAACAACAAATCTGAACTTAGCGAGGAGCTCTGGTAGCAAAGTGGTTACGAATCGGGCTGCTAACCTCATGGTTGGCAGTTTGAAACTGCCAGCTGTTCTGCGGGAGAAAGATGAGGCTTTCTGCTCCCGTAAAGATTTGCAGCCTCGGAAACCCTATGCAAGGTCACTATGAGTCGGAACCGACTCCACGTTACTTTTCAACAACAACATCTGAACTTCGCAGTCTTTCCCACGTTACTTTCATGGTTCAGAATTTTTTGTGAGACGGAGTGCTTGCAGTGCTTGTTGTGATTGACTTAATTCAGGAAAGCTTGGTTTATGTGGCAGAGGATCTCGGGGGGATGTTGTTGTCTGCACTTAGAGATAGTTCTGAAAGGTTCTTCATGGACCAGAGCTGTGCTGCTGTAAGAACTGCCTTCCTGCCTCCTGTCCTCCTTTTCTGAAAGCATGTGCACCCTCTGCTGGCTCCTCAAGGGAAAGCCTACAAGGACATCAGCGTGGCAAATGGCCTATGATGTGATTGATTCTTCCATCTATCAGACACCCACGCAGTTGCTTAGGCATCATGGACACAAAGATAACCTGGACAGTAAAGCCTACATCAGTGGACCAACGTAGCAGGCATATCAAAAGTAAAACCATTGACTTTCCTTGAGCAAAGGTTTTAATTTATCCATTCCATTCACCCATTTATCAAATAGTTTTCATCTATCCGAAGAGATAAAGAAGCACAAAGTCCCTCTTAAGTGTGTGAGAATTTTTAAGATAGCCAAGCACACCAAGACTATCATGATGGTTATCGAACATGCTCATAAATCTAGAGACCAGGGCCTGGAGGCTAGGTCATTATCTCTGTACTTAACTGGGGCTGCACTCACCCTCCTACTGGGGTTGGGGTCAACTGGGGCCCTTGGGTACAGACTCCAGTCAGGGACTCAAGACCAGCCCCAGGGCCTGGCTTTACAGCCAGAAAGATGCAACATGTGCTACAGGTTAGTCAGCATTGACCACTGCTAATCAAGTAATTCATTGTGTTCACATGCTAGCTTTCCCTTAAGCCAACGTAGGCTTTACAGAAGTACGTAAAACTACTCTGGTTCTAAGCTAACTTCATACACCTCAAAAACTTGTTCATATCCCAAAGGTGGGCTCAATACCCATGACAGCCACTGCTCAATCTCCATGGCATTGCACCATTCCATAGCTCTTGATGAGTAAATAAAGTATTGGTATTTCAACTAATGTATCTCTGATCTAAGATTCCCTAGGTGGCACAAGTGCTTTGCTAACCAAACAGTTGGCAGTTGTACCAGCCAGGTCAGACAGAACACACGTGATCCCCACCTCAGAGTAAAAGCAGTTTTGTTTTGCTCACAGATGTTTCTGCAGCAGCCAGCGGTATCTCTGAGCCTCAGCAGCGCCCCACAGCCTGAGAGCCAGCAGCAGTTACAGCAGAGGTCCACTGCCGTGTCCCAGCCACAGCCTGTGCCCAGCCCTCAACTGACAGGGCCGATTGCCTCAGCCCAGATCACAAGCCAGCACCTGCTGAGGGAATCAAGTGTGATATCAAACCAGGTAAACATGCTATCTCTGGGACTCATTCTTCTATGCTCCAAGCAGATTGTGATGGGGTTTTTGTCCTCTTTTCTTTAAATCTATTTGAAATTGCATTGGATTCCTTCTGCATTTTTTGACTGTCCACCTGGACGCCTCTCTCTTGCCTTTCAAAGTACCATGTAGCTGAAGTTCTCAGTTTGGGTCCTGAATTCAGTTAAAGGTAGACAGGGAATCTCAGACACTCACACAGGGTGGGATATGTCCCTGCAATCAGTCCCCCTCACCGACTTGTAATTTCACCATCACAGTGTGGGAACACAGGAAATCCAGTTCTCTTCATCATCCTCTCCCCAGAACCACCATGTTTCTCCCTGCCCCAGAGCCCCTGACAGCATTCCCTGCCGGCTATTCTTTATAAGCCACTACTGACCTCACATAATGATATGGTCACCAGTCAACAAATGACACATGAATTGAACGGAGCTAAGAAGTCCAGAGCCCCTGCTTCTGGAAAATCACAGGTTTCAAGATGGAAAACATTGACGTTTCCCACTCTTCTGAAGCTCTTATATTCACATATGCCTTTGTGGATTCTGAGGAACATCTGCTGAGCTCCTCTTGTTACTCACCCAGCACCAGGGGAGCAAAGATGAATAAGAGTTGTCCATAAATCAGTACCCCCCCCAAAAGAAACAACATTTGATAAAATTCAACATCCATTTATGATATTTATAACTTCACTGCCAACTAGAAGAGAACTTTCTACTTGATACAGAACATCTACAAATAATCTACAGCTAAAAGTGCATTTAATGGTGCAAGCCTGAGTCCTTTCCCCAGAAGATGCTGACTCTCACTGCTTCATCCAATGTAATGAAAATAACCAGGGCTATCAGGCAAGAATGGAAATTATACATGATGTCAGCTGCTCATGGCAACTTCACACACGATGGGATTAGACCATTGTGATCCATGGATTTTTTGCTGATTAGTTTTTGGAAATAGATACCAGGCCACTCTTTCTAGTCTGTGTCAGTCTGGAAGCTCTGCTGAAAGCAGTTAGGTATCCCAGCAGCATGGAAACCTTCAGTGATTACGTTGATGGGGAATCCAACATGGTTCTCCTTCAGGGAGAATCTGGCCACTGATCCGCCATGCCAAGTAAACACAGGAAAACAATGGTACACATCATGAGCCAGCAGAGGAATGATCATTAAATCACCATGAGATGAGACCTCATTCCACATCTGTTAGAATTACTGAACCTCAAAGTGATAGTACTGAACACTGGTGAGCATCCAGAGAAATGGAACCACTCAGACGTTGCTAGGAGGAATGTAAAATGGTACCTCCAGGCTTCAAAACTATTTGGCAGTTTCTTTCTGTTAGTATTTTTTTTCTTTAA